GGGTAATCAGATCTCTATCCTGGCTGTACTTTGCAAGAACCAAATCGGTAGCCTTGGTCATGGCTATTACGGAGCCGATGAGAGCATTTTGCCCTTTCTGAGATCTAGCATCTTGTGCTTTCATTGTGGCGGACAGCTGGCTCCAAATTAGTGGGTTAACCTTCGGCGTTCTCAAGCCTTTGATGTTCTCGGGCCGTGTATATTTGTCTAGCTTCGCCTTGATCTTGTCATCGGGCATCTTTTCTGACAAAAGCCCCTTAAAAATTCCCGCCAGACTTTCATGAATTGGCGGGGAGGTTTGCTCTCTGACCGAGAGATCTTGAGCGAGCTCTTGTAAAAAAGCGTCGCCTGTCCTAGGCGCTGCTTTGTCCGTGGTCTTAGAGTCCAGGATAGCAGGTAGACTGGCTTCCATATCCACTCCTTCATGATCAGAGTCTTGGACTGCTTCGGCAGAGGCGGTTTCACCGTCCTCCTCCGACTCTGGATCGCGACCGCTCAACAGCAGACTGGCGTTTTCGTTAAGTTTCGTCATCTGACCCACGAACGGAGCCACAGCAGCCGTAAACAGGTTCGCAAGTTCTGTATTCGCGGAGGCCTTCTCCGACGATTGACCCTATTCGGCAGTGATATTCACCCCAACGTCGTCCGGGGTTTGTGGCATATTTTGAGCTTAATTACTGGCCCCTAACTACGTTAGCGCCTGAGCTGGGTGTAACTGAGACCAACTACGTTAGCCTCTCCAGCTATACGTTTAAGAAAACCAAAGAAATTCTGGTGTTATCCGAAGAACGAATTTTACGCGTTGAGCGCGAATCGTGCAATGAGTTGCGCAAGCGCTGTGCTATCTCATGGGATCTCCGCCTTCTGGTCATGTGATAGAATTACAGCATAACTGCCTAAACATCATTGAAACTTTTCACTTAACATTAAAAAAGTATTGCTTTTTTTGTATTACTGTTGGCAACGTGAAGTTAACGTTGCGCCCGTTGCAGGACGGACAAGCTCAAGTACCAAACAGTAAACGTTATAATATTTTTCCAGTCTAAAAACAGAAGGTACTAAAGTCTGACTTTCATTACCTCTAAATCTTAAATGTAGGCATATAACCTTAAATTGGGTCACAAAACAGTGTACGATGTACAGATTCAAGTAGCAAACTGTCTGAATATGGTAGATGAGTCAAAACTTACTGAGCAGTTTATCTAAGTTCTTCTACCATGAAAATTTTTTTTCTTTTAAAAGACCCTCTTAAGACCACAAGCGGACCATCTTAACTGTTCAAGGGATCATGATGTCACGCGCGACATGTTATCCCATACATTTACTGTATTTCGTAACGCCCGCACTCGGCTTGATTCATTATGAATAAAGATAACTTACCGTATGTTTCTGGTGTCGTGTTCTTCGTTTTTGTGGCGCTTTCAGTCGGAGGTGTCAGTTCAAGCGACTGAGAGCGCAAAAAGGGTGAAAGATTCTGTGTTTTATGAAGCATTTCTACCGATCACTTGAATCAAACCGAGCGCGGGCGTTACGAAATACAGTAAATGTATGGGATCACATGTTGCACTAGACTTGCTCACAAGTCGAGCTTTTGAGCGCGTAGCGCGACTGTGAGCGCGAAGCGCGATCGT